GGGGGGGGGGGGGGAGGATCGCACTCCGGTTTGAGGGCAATTCGGTAAATTGATCGGTGATCTTTACGCTTCGAAGGGCTGATCGGGTCTTGTAACTGAATTTTTTTTTTCGGGACAATTTCGAAGATAGTTATTGCGGAAGGGAGTTTACGGAGGGAATTTTGGGGACCGGGCAGGTGGGGTTTTGTGGGAGTTTTTTATTTTGGGAGATCGACAGGTGGAGTTCGTTATGTATTTGGAGAGGGACGATGAGATGTTTCTCTCCTTCATGATGTGGGAGGTGGGAGATGCTCCCGCAGAGGGCGACAGGGGATGGAGGAGATGCGATGCCGGGAGATTCGGAGAGGTCTACTTTACCGATCGTGGTGCCTCTCATGCTAAGGAGGCTGAGGATGTATGAGTGCATTTTGAAGACTGATGTTGAAGCCACTTACATCGAGCCCTGGAGTTATTATTTATGTTGAAAACCTCGGTCCGCGATTTCCCTGGCGACAGAAGGTATGAGGTGTCGAGGGTCTGCTGATGGTGGGGGAGGTGTCTGTAATTTAGTGCAGGGATCTAGCTTGACAGAGCAGGGGAAATAGGTACTCTACCTATGGATGGCACGCGATGGATACCCGGAGAGAAATTTTTGATAAAAATTATCCTACCGTTCTATAAAAATGTAGCACGAGTCATCGTTTCCTCATTTCTATCCCGAAATTTAGTAAAAATTAATATGCGGTGATTAAATTTTATTCTACGTTAGAGAAGTTTTATCCTGATAAAGATAAAAATAACCGTGCCGGTAGAGTAAAATTTACCAACTGTTCTAGAATTTTTGTTGTTATCTGCAGAAAAATTATTGGACTGGAAGGGTAAAATTTATTATGCGTCAGGATAAAATTTCTCGAACGTAGAAAAAATTTGATCATCATATATCAATTTTTACTAAATTTCGGGATAGAAATGAGGAAACGATGACTGATACACTTTTATAGAACGATAGAATAGTTTTTATCAAAAATTTCTCTCCGTGCACAGATGCTGCTTCGCAGCCATGTGTTTTCAAAACGATTTTTTGCTATGAATTTAAGAGTTTATTAATTAACTATTAAGTGAATGAGTAAACGCTTAAAAAAAAGTAGCAGCATAAGATTCACAACCTCAAGGCCCCAGGTTCGACTCCCGGTCAAGTCAAATTCCACTCCTTGCATCACACTTTTCAACACAATATTTTTACAAAAAGCACACCATTTTCACGTCGAAATAATTAGGACACCCTAATGAGCCCATTAAATTAATTATTTCAATGAATTTATTGTTCTAAATACACAAAAATACTGTTTAATACAAATATTGTATAAAATCCACTAGAATTACTCCCTAATGAAAAAAAAATCATAAATAGATAAAGAACGCCAAGAGAATATCTGCAAACTCCACTCCAATAACCGTAAAATTTTACTGTTTCCGTTCAGTCATTCATTACCGCGCGAAGTGAAACAGAATTTCCTCATGACTTCCATTCTCACCATAAAAGGCCACTCCGACAAGCTGACGAAGCTAAATCTCAATTATTGGAAACCCTCCACCATGCGTCCGAATTCCGCCTCAAAGTTAGACATATCTAATAATTGACCCCTACAACATCATCTTAACTAAAACCTAGAAGTTAATCTCGATTATTGCCGGCATCGGTAGCCTCTCCATTCCCCTCCCTCTCCATCCTGGAGTTCTGGCGGAAGCGCTCGTAGTCCTCCTGCTGTCCGAAGACCTTCCTCCCAGTGACCCTCTCATTATCCTTGATATTGAGCTCAGTCCCGACTTGGACAGGCCAGGGTAGCTTGTCCGTTGACCTCCCTTCCACGGAGTTGGCAGCAGTCCTCACGCCCTCGTCACTCCTGGGGGCCTCCTTGAAGCTCGCGTGATCCAAATCCTGCTCCCTGTACCGTGTGTCGTCAAGCCTGTCGTAGGACGCATATGGTCGCTCCCAGTAGTTCGTCCGCTTGCCGTAAGGGTCGTAAGAATCGTGCCCGTAAGGATACCTGTAAATAGCAGGCTGAGCGTGACCACAAACCGATAGGAAAATCCTTCTTTGAGTATTACTGGAAAAGCGGCCCCCGGCCCTGTAACCGCAGAAGCAAGCTCCCTAAGGAGCTGGTGCCCGTGTCAAGATTTAAGTCCTTTCTAATTCTCTCTAGTCCTCCATGGTAAACGCTTCTAAGTTGTATGGGTCAATTCATCTATAATTCCTTTGCGTTTATAACTATTAGAATTATTGATTTCTTTAGTTATAAGATGTTCCATTACCTCCACTGTCCTTCTTACAGCAATTTTTTTAATTTAAAATTATTTATGTAATTTAACTGATCTAATTTGATAATTTAAATTTAGATTTATTTAGTTAAATTAGTTACTTCAGGAATTAAATTTTCAGAGCCAGGGTTCCCAGGGTTACCCAGGGTTACCCAGGGTTTGCGACGTGGACGCAGCTGGAGTGAACCCCAAAAAAGAGGCAACAGTTAAACTTATATAGTCCACACGCAATACCCCCTTGCCGTGTGCACTTCTAGTGCGGTAAGGTTTTGAGGTGTTTTCTTATGTTTTCGGGTATGAGAAATCCGAATCCAATGGTATTTTTTAGGTAAGTGCGTGCAATTAATAGTTATAAACAAATTAAGTGGTTTTTTTGATGATTTTTTTTTTATGGGAAACATTGGCAAATAGAAGAAAATGTTCATGACAAAAGTTGTTCCTTTTTGTGTAATAAATAATGATCAATTTTTTAAATCAAAATCCATCAATCCGTTGTCGAAATATGGTCCACCAGGTGAACGCGGGAGGATGCGCGGCGCGCGCAGTCCGCTCGAACCTCTTCCGTGTCGCGTACGCACCCATTTTCACATCATTTTGATGCTTTCGTCATGGATGCAACAATTGAAGGAGTAATTCAAAGAAGATAATCCTACATAGAAGTCAAAATTCAATGAAATGAGGATGAAGCGAACGAATGATCGATCTGTACAACCGTCCTTCCACACCATTCCTTGAAAACGAAAAAAATACTCATCCGCATCCACATATCAATTTCTGACGATCGCGTCACTTCCGACAACGGTCACTTCCACACCGTTACTTGAAAACGAAAAAAATACTTATCCGCATCCACATATCAATTTCTGACGATCGCGTTTCAATGATCAATCGGAAGCGGGGGTAAATGAATGAATTAACACTGTTGTTCAATCTTGTCTGACATCTTTGCTACAAACTCGGGTCTTCAACTCGGGCTTTCAATTGAAGGCCCGAGTTGTAGACCCGAGTTTGTAGCAGCGATGTCAGACAAGATATGAATGTTTTTTTGGGCTCAAATGAAAGAGCGGGTCGAGAAATGACGTGCTAGAGCCTCTAAACATGACAAATGTCTCTAAAGATGATATCTGTTTTCAATTGAAAAGCAGAGTTGTGACATCATTGTCTAGGAGGACAATGGGGTCTAGGAGTATCTATAGAACATTGGGGTCTAGGAGTCACCCGTGGTTCAAAACCATCTTTAGAGGCCCTAGCA